CTAAAATAATTTAAATTGAGAAGATACCTAGAGATTTTAAAGAAATTATAACATTTTAAAGGACTTAGTTGTTATTTATATATGTTTGGTGGGATTTTATCTTCATGTTCCGAATAAATATAACTTTTTTATGCAATTTTTCTACGAAATATATTTCAAATTTATAAAATATAAAAATTCAAAAAATCAATAATAAATTTAAATCGACCATTCACATAATTTCGGACAACATACTAAATTTAACAGTGAAATTAATTCATTTTTTGAAAAAAAAATATTTTCTATTCAAGTAAATTTTATTATCAAATAAATCTATAGTTTTTAACTTAAAAAGTAACTAACGATATGCATCAATCAACATAGGGGTTATATTATTCATATTTAGGACTGATGCAAAAATATTTCTAGTTTTATATTATAGAGTAAAATAAGTATAAATTTAATATAAAATTAAATACACCATATTTATATTTTTTGGTAAAATTTCTTTTAAAATATTAAAGGAAAACTGATTATATATTTCGGTCTCTTATCTCAACTATAAAATACTTCCTCCGTTCAAAAATGTAAGAAATTTTTTAAGGAGTTGAATGTTAAAAAATGTAAATATTTTTAATTTTTTGAGGTATATCATCTTGCTCTCTTTTTTTTTCAAAGTGCCACTATCAATAATGACTTTATATTTATTATAAGGATATTTAATAGGATAAATATGAAAAGATAAAATTATTTAAAAGTAAAAAATTATTTATTAGGAGTAAGATTCAGTTAAAAATATTTAATTTTTAAATAAAGGGAGTACTAATTTAGTCTAGTTTAAAAAACATGAGCATACTTATTTATCCACATGGTGAGCAAAATGCATATCATACTCAAAACTATTTTTCAATATCAATTTTAACTTCTATTTCATTCCACAAAATGGTTTGAACCCATGACATTTTTATTTGTGTCCTACCTTTTTAACATTAAGCTAGAATGAAAATAAAATTTATTATTACATAATTAAATAATTCCCCCCATCTTCATATATAAAGTGTTTTCTAGAAGCTTGTTTTGATCCAAACTAGAAGGGGTGATGGTGATATTTTTAATAGTTAGATAATTTTATTATTATCTTGAAAAATAAAATAGATCATTAATTATATATTTTCTCTACCACTATCATGATATTAATTATGATATTATTAGGAGTAAAATTGAAAAAGTTATTGTGTTTTTATATGAATTCAATTAAATAACAACCCTCATTAATGTAAGATTCAATTAAAATACTTTATATATAACGAAGACAGAAGGAAGTATATATTATTGAACAGAACAAACACACATATAAATAGATAATTTTTTATATAATTCAATTACACACATATGTCTTAGATATTAGATGTTATAAATATTATCACTATCATTAACTACTTTAATTTGTAATTTATTAAAATTTTGAATTATATTATTTATTTTGTCTAAGTAAATTATAATATAATTGATACAATATCATTTATATTATTTATTTTAATTTTTTTGTTTGTACTTCTTGAGGTTATTGTATTATTTATTTTAATATTTCTATTCATAATTATAATATATATGAAAATAAATAATAAAAATATAGATGGTTTTACATTAGATCATAATTAATTATTTTTCTAGCTAGTTTCAGTTAAAATTTTATTCTTACCTTTAGTTAACAATAACTCGAGTCAAGTAATTGACTTGTTTTTATATTATATTTTACTTTTTAAATTATTTTTATTTTTAAATGATAATTTTATAAGAAAATTATACACACTATATTATCTAATTTTTTATACAATATATTTATGTCTCAAGATATAACATCAAACAAAATATCATATAGCATCACATGGATATATTTTATATATTCAAAATTAAAAATATAAATTTCAGAATATCTCTGTTCTTTTCTTTCATCTTCCCTTTCCTATTGTTAGTAATAGAACTGGGAGTCTTTAAACCAATGTCGAATTTCAAAGCTTAACTATGAGGACCAAAGTTTTTTATATTAAATAAAAAATTTAATTAAAAAATTAGATTAGTTGAAATATCATTTTATAAATGATTAAATTTAAACTATCACATATCTAATTATTATAAACAAATGGTGTTATTGTTTAAAATATTAATTTAATCATGTAACACATGAAAATAGAGACTGATCATTACCACATTGCATGCATTCCAAATTAAAATATAAAATAATAGGTTTTGAATAGATTTATTATTTAATGTAAAGGCATGCATTGATTAATTTAATTAAATTTGGTGTTCATTGACCAAAATCAACGAATCAAACGGGCTTAAATAGTTAGACCAAATAAACCAAACATTGCTTATTAACCAAATTTGACCTAAAAGGATACGATTGAGCTTGATTCTTTAATATGGCTCATTAATATTAAATAATATATCTTAACATGATCTTAAAATAATTTTATTATTTTTAAGTGTCAATTTAACCATAAAATATATAAAATAAAAATCCATTATCTTATTTTATTTATTCATTATAAAATTATAGTAATACGACAAAATTAATGTATTAAAATATTAAATATTAGATTAAAAAATTATAACGATGACCTCTAGTTCTCATTGATCATTATTCTTTTTGGGGTGATAATTTTAAAAATCAAACTTGTATCACCATTGAAGGTTAGGCTTTTGGTGATAGTTAAAAATGTTGTCGCTGAGAATTTGATGAAAAAGTCAAACCTTCAATGATTATTTTTATAATTGTTGTAGATTGTTTACTTTTCAACAACAACATTTTAAAGTTATTATTGAAAGTTGTTATTGAAAGTCACACATGTAAAATATATTGCAGTGATACAAGATGCATGCAACACATAGCTTGAAATCCAGCTATTAATTATAGCTTACATGAGCTAAATTATGAACCTAGCCGGTTCAGTTAAAAGTGGTTACCTAAGAAGTTAATGGATTATATATAACAAGCGTTGGGGGGATCATGTTTTGGGATTTCATCTTGGATGCCTCATGCCTGGTTGTCTTAGACGAACAGGCAAAGAGAGGAGGCACAGGCCCATTCCTATTCAAAACATTACTCCTACTATTCAGTATATAAGTCACCTGTTAAAGTATAATTTAATTTACTTATAAGTTATTTTAATGAATTGTTTTGTTTCAAATTAAAATTTATAAATTACCTTTAAAAGTAAGAGAGAGAGACAAAAAATAATATTATATGATTGACTTATTTTTATTTAAAAATGATGTTTGAAATTTTACTTGCTTTTATTTCTTGTATTTTATTATATTAATATTGACGAAATTGATAGAAATGATTTATAAAAAAAATCAAAGGAGTACCAATTTATGATGGAAGTCTCGAAAACAATTTTATCCAATCACAACTATTCAAATAGTTATTGGGTGTCAAGGCTGAAAGAAAAAGAGTCACTAGGATATATATTTTTATCTGGCCATTGTGCTAAATGAAATTATCATGTACACAATATTCATAAACTAAATTAGTTAACTACGTTTTTAAAAAGTTTAGCGCTGGAAAGATTTAAACTTTTGACCTTTACTTATAATTAAAAATTTTATTCTTAACAACTCAACTAGTCTCATGTGACACGTGTCATGTTTTTTGTAACAAACAATTTTTTTATGCTATAATTATACAATGCGGTTTAAAATTGAGCTAAAGTATATCATGATTATTTGTTTATTATCATTATTTTGACATTATATGAAAGAAATGTTGGGACTAAAGTTAACGCGCTAGAGCAGCGGTGTGCATTAGCTTAATGTGCACGGCAATTGGGAAATGATAAATGGGAAAAAGACAACTGCGAAGCCTTAAGACTATTGACGACAATTAAAAACATTAATTATTAAAAACTCAATAACAAATTATAATTATCATTTATAATTTAAAAAATATAAATAGTCAGTTGATAAATTTATTAAATATATTTAAAATTATTTATAATGTTAATTAAAAATTTATAAAAATTAATTGTGAATGCTTATTTTTTCTTATTAATATATAGATAAATCACTTAAAAAATTAAGTAAATATACTTGAGATTATTTGTAACTGTAATACTTAGTTAAAAATTTATAAAAATTAATTGTGAATTACAATTCAATTAGTTATATTTTTTTGTTATCAGTTAAAAATTTGTGAGAGTCAATTATTAATCAAGTCAATCACTTGTAATTTTTTATTATTATTTAAAAAATTAATAAAAATAAAAATTTAAAATTTTTATAGCGTTAGTTGAGAATTTACTAAAATCTGTTGTGAATCTCAAGTGAATTAATGAAAGATAATTTCTTATAATAAGGATTATACTTTATTATTGAGATTTCAATAATTCAAAATTTATAATTATCATCAATGTTCTTATGAAATATTTAATTGTTATTTTCCCATGATAAATTGATAATTCAAAATTGACCCCAAATATCTCATCAATTATTGAAATATCTTGAGTGTGGTTAGATATGTAGGAAAATTACAACCGGTCCTACATAGTGAAATTAATTATTATAAGATTCATTAATAATTAAATTAAATTATATTGATAACTGATTATGTTATTAATATAGTAATTTAATCATTAATAAAATTTATAATAATTAATTTTTTTATATAAAATTTTAATATAATTCTCTCTAAATATATCCACTTTGCCATTACAGAGACCTCCAAACAAACTCTAGCAGTTACAGTGTTACACCCCCGTCTCCGTGAAAAGCCACAAGCGGCATCCCAACAATTTATTTCAGTGAAAAGCCACAAGCAGCATCCCGACAATTTTACATTTAAAATAATTCCAAATTATCCAAATCATTCTCGTCCACACATTCGTGCTCCTCTTCCGTTCCGTCCCTATCACTCTCAACAGTTCAACACCACGAGCACGCGCCACTCTTGAGCGTGGCATTTCACTCACTCCAATCATGCATTACGTCCCTTTAAATACCGGCCGCCCCTCGCTGTTTCTTGTTCCGTATCAAATCTCAATTCCTTGTTCATTCTCTATCTCGATCTCGAAATGGAAACTGAGACTAAAGCTCCGGTGGTTGCCAAGAAGGTTTGGAACATTGTAAGGGTGGTTCTTGTGATGCTGAGAAAAGGCATAGCCAAGAGCAAGGTCGCGCTTGAGCTCCATTTGCTTCTCAAACTCGGGAAGCTCGCCGGAAAGGCCTTCGCCAACAGTACTCTGATGCTCCACCACCACTTCGCCTCCCTCTCTAACAACCACCGCTCCTTCGTCCCCCCGCGTGATTACGAGTTCAGCTGCAGCAACAGCCCCGCCTCCTACCCCTTCGGCTCCGCCATCAAACGCAAGCACCGGCTCGGTAATAAGTCGTACCAACACGACGACGTGTGCACCGTGGCTGCCGTTCAGAAAGTGCTTGAGATGTTGAACAACGAGAGTTCCATGGTCGTGGAAGCCTCGCCGCCGGTGACATTGCCGGGTTTCGGAAAGAGCCCTATCGGAAAGCAACTGAGAGTTACGGACTCGCCGTTTCCGTTGAAGGACGACGGAGATAGCCAGGTGGACTTGGAGGCCGAAGAATTCATAAAGAAGTTCTACAGAGATTTAAATTTGCAGAAGACGATGGCCGTTTTCGATTCACCTTGTCCCAGGTACTTGTGGGATAGGTGAATTGTGAGACGTCCCTGTATATGATCCCATGCATATAGACGCCTCAAAGCTAGCTACATCGATCTCACGAAGCAAGACCTTCTATTTTTCGCTGCTATATATGTGATGAAACGTCACTTGATGAAGTAGTTTTTTCTGGGTTGGTTCTTGAAGTGAGCTATAGCTAGCTAGCTAGCCAGTGCGTGCTTGGACGTGCATGGGGTTAATTCTGATTTGTCATCGATCACACTGTGGTCTTGGTGTTTTTTTTTATTTCTCTTTTTTAAATTTGACTCCTCTGTATTTTTGGGTTGAAACCCTTTGTTGTGATTTGTCGATGTTGATAATAAAAGGAGTCAAAAGGAGTTACAGGGGGGAAAGAAATCAAAGATGGAATTGTACCTGTGCTTCTGTAGAAGGTTAGGAATAATTTCTCTTGTTTCAATAAAGGACGTCGCACCAACTACTGCGACTTTGGATGATAAAGGAGGGACTAAAGCAAGAGCGTCATGTTTTGTCCATGGCAGCGGAAGAAGAAATTCAATGCGTAGCGGTGCTGCCATCTTTTCCATGGGTTGGTGAGCTGGAGTTTGGCTTTATTAGCCCCTTTCTTGATGCCTCTGGTGGTGCCTTTTTTTTTTTCTTTGTTCAGATAACGATGGTGACACACACACACCATTAGTATTGGATATGTCATTAACCGGTCAAGAATTAGTTCAAATACTAGTAGTCAAAATTATAATCAAATCATAATTAAATCATTCAGTAACAGTATTTATTAAATCGGTAAAAATACTGTATGGTTTAAAAATGATTCCATTAGTTAGTTAGCTTGGATTTTCATGTTATAATATATATATATATATATATATATTATATACTAGTAATCGTTGGTATACACACAGCACTTGTCACTTACTCCCAAATCAATTGAATTTTCTGTTTAGCCTTTTTAGGTCAATGATATAGATATCTAGCTTGAGTGTTTTGGTGCTTCAATCCTTTCCTTCAATCGTTTTAGAATTGCTTGACAACAATTATTTGTTTAATAAAACGTTCGAATGGTATGCGAAATCATACTTTTCTTTTCAAAAAAATTGGTGTTTAAGAAAATTAATTGGAAATTATTATATTGATCGAAAGACTTTGAAATATTAATTTATACTAATTCATTATGCAGTTTATGATATTAGTAGTGCTACCACTTCAAAAACCATCGTATATAATATATATCCATGTACGCACGTACAGCACACTAAAAACACGAGCGGTATACTATTATATACAACTAATTCAAGCATATAACTTGGTAATAATTAAGAAGTGTCAAATGCACAGCAGATTAAATGAAATTGTCTAAATTAATAGATCTGGAATATAAGTGTAACAGGCTTCGAGGCAAAATGTTAGTTCGTTGTCATTGCTTTTGTTTGTTTTTAATTTTGTTACAAATTAAGCGGTTACAATTTTATACACTCCCTCCAAACTATAATATAAATTATTGTTAATTAATTCATAGTTTATAAACTATATTAGTTAGAACTTTAAATTTTTAAAATATTTACACATTTTCATTTATACTCATTAAATAATCTATATAAGAATAATAATAATAATTACAATTTTAATGCAAAATTTTAGTAATAAATGAAGAAAGAGTATAGTTAAAAAAATAACTATAACAATTATCTAATTAATGCCTTATATTTTAGATCGAGTAAGGTTTTTAAAAAATACCTTATATTGAAAGAAGTATTACTATAAAAAAAATGACTTTTGATGACGACAAAAAAAGTCACCACCAAAGGTCTATTTTTGGTGGTAACAATTAGAAGTCGTCATTAAAAGTTGAGCCTTTGTAGTGACTTCGTGTTGCCGCTAAAAATAAATTTTTAATGACGACTTTTAAATGTCACCACTAAAGGCTTCATTTTAAAGGAGACTTTTAATTGTTGTCGTTAAAAATTACTATTAGGGGCAACAATTTATTGTCGTCAAAAATATTTTCATAAAAAATAATTAAAAATAATTTATACAATTACTTATAGTTGTGACAAACTATCACTATCAAAAGTATTTTCATAAAAAATACTTTAAAAATAATTTTTTAATTTATGTAATTATAACTTGCACTGATAAATTTATCCAATTACTTTTAAAAAGTATTTTTATAAAAAATAATTTATGTAATTACTTTTAGTGACGATAAACTGTTGCCATCAAAAATATTTTTATAAAAAAATAATTTATACAATTACTTTTAGCAACAGTTCGTCATTATCAAAAGTATTTTTATAAAAATAATTAAAAATTAAAAATAATTTATATAATTACTTTGTCATCATTAAAAATATTTTCATAAAAAATAATTTAAGAAAATATTTTTGATGACAATGGCTTCCTGCTGCTACAAGTAATCATACAAAATTTTTTAATTTTTAATTATTTTTTTATAAAAATATTTTTGGTGGTGATGATTTATCATCTCTAAAAGTAATTACATTAAATTTTTTAATTAATTTTTTATGAAAATACGCTAAAAGTTATTTTTAGCTGCAACACTTAAATGTGCATGTGGACTCTCTTTCTTACTTGTTGATCGGGAGTTTGATTTAATTAATTGCTTAATTTATATCATCTGGCTGCGGCCATCAATTAACGTCTATGCAATTTTTTATACTATACACTACTACTCCAATACCGCTCCCTTCCTTCTGTCATAAATATGGAAGTTAGATAACTAATTCTCATATCTCCTTTGGTAAAGACAAAAGATAACTAATCATATAGATTAAGAAAATTAATTATGTTAGTTATTTGTAAAAAAAAAAAAGAGTTACTCCTCCTTTCTTGTATATAAAGTATTTTCTAAAAATTTATTTTGTTCATAAATATAAGGATGTCATGATATTTTTAAATAATTTGACATGCAATTTTGTCCTTATCTTGAAAAATGATGAGATATTAATTATGTATTTTATCCACTATCACCAAAATATTAATTGTGACATTATTAGGGATAAAGCTAAAAATTCATTGTGATATTAACTAAATAATAAATTTTTATTGGCATGCATGTTAAAAATATCTTATATATAGATTAGGTTATGTTTGGTTATTAGAAAGAAATGGAATGGAATGGATTAAAAAAATAAAGGTAAAAATGAGATGATCAAATAGAATAATTACTACTAAAAAATATAAATTAGCAAGAAAATTTAATGAGGAATGGTCCGTTTCTCTCTAAAATATCAAATTAGCAATGAAATCAGCGAGGGGTGTTGATTTCATGTTTTAACTTAAAAATTAGCAAGGGAATGTTAAGACCTCTTTAAAATAAGAAAATTAATGAGAAAAATAGAGAGAAACTGTCGATCCCTATCTAAAATAAGAGAATAATAGTGAGAGACTGTCAATCTCTCTTTAAAATTAGATAATTAGTGAGAAATTGCTAATCCCTCTCTAAAATAATATAGTTAGTGAGGGATTCTATCTCTAGCTAATTACTAAAAAAAAACTTTTGGCAATAACTTTTAATGATATATTTAATTATTTTCATTTAAAAATAAAAAATTAATTTAAAATTTAACTAGAATATTCATAATAAAATTATTTAATATTTTATTTATTTTAAGTTAATTTTCATTAATAAAATATAAAGAATAATTTAAATAAAATGAAAATATTTTTAACATATTAATAATTGAAAATAAAATTTAATATGTATATATGTGTGTATTTTAATAGTATATTATTTGATATATTAATGTTGTTAAATAATTATATTTAATTTTCATATAATGATTGCAGGTACCTTTCAATTCAATTGGTAAAGAAAAAGAGTATAAGGCTTTAAAGGTATGAGATTAAGGATTCAAGCTTTAACTTCAGCATGAACATAATGAATATATGACATGATAAAGAGCAAGTGATATGACGCAAAGTGAATAATGACATGTCATGAGTTGTCGCATATATGGCGGGTGATGGGGCACAAGATGATAGGTGACATGACAATTGACTAGGCATAAGGTTGTTGGTGACATGTTATAAGTTGACACACACATAGTGAGTGATGTGGCATTACTATTTTTAAATATAAGTATATTTAGTGAGGGATTAGTGAATGACTAATCTCTCGTTAAGGTTATCAAATTTTGAATAGTATTAGCAAGAGACAGTATTTCTCTTGTTAAATTTAGCGAACCTTTTTTTGTTATGAATTTAGCAAGGGATAACATCTCTCACTAAAACGCAATTTAGTTAGGAAAAATGATAGTTAGAGAGGGATTTGTTCGTCGCTAAATTCTATTTTTCTAATAGTGAGTGAGTCATATTCATAAAAGAAAAGAGTAATTTAATTCATGAGTTTGAAAAGATTCATGAATTTCTTGGAGGGTATGATGATTTTCACATTTATAGTATATGTTAATAAGTTTTATTATAATTACCATGAGGGGGAAAGATGATTTAATTTTTTTTATATTAATTTTTTCAATTCATTCCATTTCATTCCTTTTCGATAACCAAACATGACCTAAATTTTCTTAAAATACTTTTCCTTGAAAATTATCTGTGTGCGCAATCAACAGAGGTAACAATAATTTAGAAAAAAATATCAAATGCAGTGCACATAATGATTAATTAAGGTTTTACATTTAAAATTAAAACAAACATTTAAACTAACTCATATATTTATGATCAAAGGGAGTACCCTTCAAAACATACTGTTAAAATCCAAGACTATCAACTGATTCGATCATTGGGAATGTGGCAGATCAATATAACCCAACAACGGCAAATAGATGGGCAACACTTGCAACAAAAAAAAAATGCAGGTACAGTAATTAAGCCAATTAAATATAATTGAACGAGGACTTGGATATTGTAGGAATCAAAATTATTGGATTGGCAAAAGTGCAGAAACATCGGCCAAGGTTTGTCCTTCAAATATTTAATCACATCATGAAGAGGACGCCATTATATATCTCTCCACTAGCTATGGTCGTCTGGTACAAGAATCCGCCAAAATATCTCCACTACGCTTTTCCTCCCTTTTATAATTAAATCTCATGCCTAAAATATAGTTAAAATTCGCATTAACTCACGGAACAGTGCAAAATAATTATCATCATTATCAATAAAAAATATTAGAAAAGAAAATTTAAGTACTTATAGTGTTATATGCTTTTAAATGTGGTACTTATATTTTTTATCAAACTAAGACATGCGTTTTTTTTTTAATCCATGATATCTTACCCTCTAACTATATAAGTTTTGTTATTAATTAATATTTTCTCCATTAAAAAATATGAAAAATTTTTAAGAAAACCTTACACCTCAATAAAATAGTTAATTATCTTCTAATTAATATTATCTTTTCATATTCACACTTATTTAATAGGATATTTTTTTTCAAAATAAATATAAAATAATTTATTTATCAGGGAAACTTTTGAAAAAATGCATTAATTACATCTTGAAAT